CGGCACAAAAGTTAGGCGCACACAAATTTTATAATAATTTATATAATATAATGTGTTTTTCTGGATACACTGTGCTTTTTCAGCATTCAAAGATTGATGACACCGTGTCAGAGCACTGGCTATGAATTTCAGAAGGATCAGGCCTTAACAGAAAAGTTAGCAATAGTTCTTTTCCTATTACAGCTACATCCACTTCTGTCGTGCCTAGGCTGCTCACTAGGGCTGGGTATCATCACTGATTTCTATAATCCATTCGATTCCGGTTTTCAAAGTCCCGATTCGATTCAACTTAGCCTCAGACAGTCAGAAATATTATAACTCCTAATTGTAAAGCGCTTTGAGGGTCTCGAAAAGCGCTATATAAATGCAATCCATTATTAAAATAATGATGACCGAAGTTACTGCAGCTGTGCAGTGAATCCAGTGATGTCACTGCCTTTGAAATGATCACATGTGAGAAACTGAAATTGAGGAACTGCAGCACAAACAGTGATGTACAGTATATACATTGAGCAATAAAAACATCAGACTGTCTGTTTAATGGACTCGAGCTGCTGTTTTATTCGCTGTTATTAGCTTTTGTGTGAACGTCCCAGAACAGAGCGAGCTGTACCTTGATGAGCTGAATCATTTAAGCTTAAATGTCATCCAACTAAATGATCTCTAATCATATTCTTCAAACTGAGCTTTGAGGGCTGGAGCTGCTGTAACTGTGTTTGTAATCAGCATCGTTATGAAATCATTCATATGAAGCTGTTGCAGGTGTCACACGTTTTATTAGAAACTGATTAAAAACTGCACACTTAACTTTGCTGTCTCTACCTGATCATTCCTCATGGCTTACAAATAAAGACACAAACCAAACCGTGTCACAGCCGCAGCAAAATTTAGAAAGTGAATGTATTTGTAGTGATGTGTCCATCACCCGGGATATCTGTGCCGATGGCTTGGGGCTGTGCGGCTAAAACAAATCAATGGCCTTGATCTGAAAAGTGGGTTATCACTTTAAAGGCTTCGGGGGGGCTGAGCACACATGGGGATGCTTCACCGCCTTCTGTCCTTTTCTTCTTTTCCAGCTCTGCTAAAGAGGACAGCTCTCCAGACTCCAACCTGACGCTGGAGTCCGACTCAAGCGGCGTTTTCCTCTCCTTATCCAATCAAAGCCAGGAGGAGGCCGGCTCTGACAGTGACCAGCCAATCAGTGGTTCCGACCTGGGCAGCAGCAGCACGTCGCTGGAGAAAGATGGGGACGATGGAGGGTTAAAGGAGTGGGGGAGGGAGGAGAGCGCGGAGCTACAGTGGTGCTACCCGTCACTCCTCAACACGTGCTCGCAAGAAGACATCGAAGGCGAGAGGGAGGAGGCGGGGCGCGGAAACATGGAGGAGGATGAAGAGCGGGGAGAAGGCGAGGACAGAAGGAAGGATGGGAAGATGGGAATGGTTTCAGTCATCAAGAAGCCATTAGAGCAGAGCGTTATTAAGAGCTCCATGGCTCTGAGAATTGAGGACATGCCCCCCAGGAAAAAAGTCACCCTCATGGGAATAGACTCCCCTCTTCCTCTGTCTCCTTCAAAGCAGCCAATCAAACACTTTCTAGATCCCAACCAGAAGCCAATCAGAACATCAGGGCTGGACTGTGGCGACATAGATCCCTTCGTCCAGTCGGACAGCTTTGTTTACCTTGCTGTGTCTGCAAGACCTGCCTCCAAAGGTGAAGTCACCACGGTGACAGAAGCCCACGACGTGAAAAAGGACAGTATACACCATCACACACACGGCACGAAAACGCACGTGGATCCGCCTAACCCCAACCGGGACGCCAAGCCAACACAGCTCGCCCCACAGAAGCCAGAGGAGGGAGATTTCCTGTGCACCGACAGCTTCGTCTACCTGGCAGCTCCAGCCTGCCTCCTGCTGGGCCCTCCAGGAACTACAGCCTACAGCGGCAAGTGAGTATGCACTCGTCTATACTTCACCTCTCAGCTGAAAGAGATGTATTCATTTATAAAAACCATCCATCCGATCATCTGATCATCCATCCAGTCATCCGATCATCCATCCAGTCATCCGATCATCCATCCGATCATCCATCCATCCAGTCATCCATCCATCCAATCATCCATCCATCCATCCATCCATCCATCCTCCATCCATCCATCCATCCATCCATCCATCCATCCAATCATCCATCCATCCATCCATCTGATCATCCATCCATCCATCCATCCATCCATCCATCCATCCATCCATCCATCCAATCATCCATCCATCCAGTCATCCGATCATCCATTCAGTTTTGGTTTCTTGTGCTATCTTTTCACTGTCAGCTAATGTCTCAGTGACACTAGAGTAAAAATAGGTTGCCGGCCTCCTTACCACCAGGAGAAACTGGTGGTTGCTCAGTGATTGCATTGAATGTTTGGTGACCAACTGGCGACATTCTAGTTGCCCGAAGGTAATATCTTCCCCTGTGAGAGGCTACCTGTCTCCCATCACAGTCTGACTCAGACTGACTGCAATCACTCTGAGACAGATTGGTAAAGGTTTGAAATAATCAGTTTGATTTATAATCACACACAGATTACCAACATTCCAATCAATCACTCGCATCAGTCTGAATGAGCCTGCGCTGATGAGCACCAGGTTAAAAGCAGAGCTTTAGTGCTTTTAAAAAGCACAAATGATGAAGATACCAGAGGGGTACATCTGGCTTTCTCTTCTGTTTTTTAGGGAGTCCGATTCGGAGAGCTCAGGTTCGGGAGCTGCTGATGTGTCTGTGCTGGGTTGCGGTTCAGTGGCAGGGGACAGCGATTGGGACTCGGACCTGTCCGACTCCGATCCGAGCCGCTCGTCAAGGACCTCCGCCACTGGGAGCAAATCTGGCCGTCCGAAGCGGCTGCCCACTGAACCTGACTGGGACTTATTCGGAGAAACCACTGAACCCGAAGTGCTGAGCGAGCTCTTCACGGAGCAAGACAGGAACAACAACGGCATAGCAGAGAGAGTTTCCGGGGTTACCACCAGCATGGCAGCAACACCGTCCGTCCCCATGGCAACTCAACCCGCCACTCCACCGTTGAAGAGGATGTCGACCGTGGAGCAGTCATTGACGAAGAAGGTGACGTGGCAGTTTAAACCCGCTCAGAGGTCGGTGTGCACGGGAAGCAAGAAGGACAAAGAGAGGGAGGCGATGTCGTCATTGGCGGGAAGGTTTACTGAACTCGGAGGTGGCGAGATGTACAGACCCACCCCTTCATCTTCATCGTCTTCGTCGTCGTCACCATCGTCATCGTCATCCGGCTGATTTCTGAAAGAAAAGCTTGTTTGGAGAAGCTTTTGATGGGCTGAAGAAAGGTAGAGGCGACCTTTAGCTCCTGTAGACCTGCAGCTTTTGCCTGTCCGTTCCGAATTCTGTGTCTCGCTGCTGCCGTTGCCTGGATGACCTTGTAAAGGCTGCGTTGCATTTTCTTCAGTTAGTCAACAAGTTATTGTTATTATCATATATCACTTTAAGTTGGGATGGTCTTCACAGAAACAGCACCGTTCCTGTACAGTTTTACTGACTGTCGGTTGTTTTTTTCACTCACACGTTACATCCACGTCTGTTAAAATAACAGATCCGAATAATTCTGTTGGAGTTTTATTCTGCTGAACGTAATCTGAGGGAGGATCCACCTTCAGACTGATTTCACATCTTATACTATTAGAGCCATGCTGGAATTAAATCACAGTGATCCGTAAAGTGATCTGAGTAGGAGAAAGTGGTTTCTGCTGTTCTCTGATTTTTACAGATGTAAGAGTGTAAACGTGTCGCCTGCTCCCCCACGTCTTTGAAGACGGACTTTTACAAACTGGCTGAGTTTGATCTCTACAGTCTATGGTGTGTTTTATAATCACAGCCAAGTTTACAGTGTATTTAACAGTGTGATAGTATATTTTGAACATGGAGATAATTATTGAGCAAAGTATTAATATATATATATGTGAGTGTGTGTGACGAGTGTGAACAACTAATTGAAGGATTTAACAATAGAGTTTAATTTAAATGGTTTATTTATCACTTAGACTGAAATTGTGAATGTTATAAATGAGCAATATGCTTACAGATACATGCTATATTCTATGTTTAACGCGCCTTCATTCAAAGGGAGTCAAATACGGCTGTTCTGTCAAACCTGCTGGTGTCTCACTGATACCTGTCAGGTGTTTTTTGGTGAGGGTCAAATTTGAAACAGCTGCCAAATTCACATGTAGAAGCAGGAGAGTTGGCAGTGATCAATAAAATTCTGCCGGCTGGTTTTATCCACCAAATATCGCGGTCATGTTTGGGTTAAAATATGTTTGCAACACGACACACTGAAAAGATGTTTCAGGACACTCGGCACGTTTCATCAAGTGAATCAAGTGGAAAACTTGTGCAGTCAGTGCTTAATGTGCAGTTCCTCTAATGTCCAGCAGGGGCTCCAGCAGTGATAGACTCCCACGTTAAAACTTTACAGCAGAAATAAACACGTTTGCATTCACCCTACACCGGGGGGGGGGGTTTAGGAGCTCACTTGTTTAGATTATTGGGGGCGTGGCCTCTTTGACTGACAGGTGGATGGTGACACAGATTGCTCTAGCTGCTAGCTGTCTGCTAGCTTCACCTGAACTGGACATCTGGACTGTTTTTGAGCTGTTGAAGCATTTTATACGACATCATCCGATCAATAACATGGCTGCTGTGAGGTCACTCTACTAACAGACTGTCCATGAAGGCAGAGCGAGAGTTTGCTGGGATTTTATTATGTTATTTAGCACTGATCATTAGGTATCTGTGTCTGTGCGATGCTCCCAGCCGCAGGTTGCTAACCTCTGTGGCTTCAACTGGCACAGGCTGGAGGGTGGTGCAATTAATGTAGCGCTATTAACAGCTAATGTGTGGCACAGATGGAACATGGAGTGCAGAGATCTCAGCACACAGAGGCTGCAGAGACAGGCAGGGAGCATGTAGTGCTGGGAAATCACTGAATCACGACAAAGATTTATTTATTTACACTCTCTTCTACTGTTTGGGGCTCTTTTAATAAACAACTACTTCAGCGTGTTTGATTTGGGGGAATCTTACTGTTCCTGACACAACCTCAAAGGGATATGTCTCTCCTCCCACGACTGAACCAGAAAGCTTTGATTCGTTAGGTGAATGTGGAAACACGATGGAGCCACTGCTTTTTCAGCTACATGTGAAAAATGACAATAACATACAGTCGCTAACTCAGGTTGTAGTATAGAAAAGAGTCTCGTTTTTAGGCCCAGCTGGGGCTCCGCTAAAATGCTCAATCGGAGGCTCCACATGGGGGCTTGTTAAACCAACTGTTAGTGCAGTGGTTGGGTCCATCTTTTATATACAGTCTGTGGTTTCTCTAACACCAGCAGTTTGACAGACGCCGTTATTTGACGCCCTGCCAGCGAGAGCGGGCTGGAGTGTTTAAATGTATAATAATGGCTGAGTTTGATTTTTATTTATGCAGCCAGATTTTGATTGTAAATGCAGTCTTAGACTCATGCAGAGGTTTTATGTGTAACATTTTTAATCATCAGGTAGTTCGGTTTTAAGTGCCATAAACAGCAAGACCACGGCTGAGATGATTGGTCGTCTTTGTCTCACACTGGGTTTATTTCTGCTCAGAGTACAGACTTCTTCTTTTGTAATCCTCCCCCTGCCATCTTTGGCTTTTCTGAGGAGGATAAACATGCTGGAGACGTTTTTCTCCTCGCTCCCCGCTGCCGTTTGTCACCGCTTCAGCTCTGTTTGTGCTGAAAAGCAAAGCAATCCAGGAGATTTCCCTCTGAATCCAAAGCGAAGTGCAGCCAGCGGGGAGGCAGGTGGAGCTGCCAGTCATCCCAGCAGTGGTTCTGCTGTTCAATCATTACATGATGAATGTGGTTATCATTCACTGAGCTAAAAAATGGGACAGGCAGCACCTTCCAAAGACATCGCAGACATGTCAGGTCACTGATGAGAGCGGCTGAAAGTCTGTTTTATGCACGATGTTGCTGATAAAGGTCTGACAGGCTAATCGTCCTCACATTTAGTCTTGTTGTTCTTGATGTAAAAGTGAAAATGAGGAACGAGGGCCAGATTTACTAATGGTTCATCACTTTTAGACCTTTTTCTGGTTTTCATGAAGCTGCTGTTGACGAGATACTGTAATAAGGTCTTGGCCCCTCACAGAGGGACCAATCAGTGACCCCCGGCAACCTGAGATTGCTAGGGACAAATGAGCATTTCCAACCAGTTTGCCAGAAACCGCTGAGTGAAATCAGCTGTAAAGAGGGCGCTGCCCCACAGATGTCTGTGATTGCTGACACGTCTGCAAACACTCACCAACCGCTCAAACTCGCCTTCAGAATAAAAGTTGCATGTTTTGGTTGCCACAGTAGAGCAGAGCTTTTACGTTGGAGTCAGATTTTCTCTGGTTGGTGTTTTTCGGGTTGCATCGCCGCTCTACAAACAGAGAAATGGAAAACGTTTGACTCCACATGAGATGTTTTTCTTCTTTTGTGCGGACACTCAACGACTGCGGAAATCTGCTGCTCATACAAATAATCTCATGGAGGTTTCAGGTGCAGCACTGTAAACCTCCAGCAGCTTCCAGCAGCCAGTCAGTGACCAGGTCTCTGGGCCTGTGTGACGGAGGCCTGCTGGTGTTATTGAACTTGAATTCAGAGTGTTAAATTTAAGAGTATCAGAGAGCTCAGAGTGTGAAATGTCGTTTTAAGGAGCTCTGACCTGTGTTAGAGAAATGCCTGCAGCTTCTGCTGCAGGGAGCAGTAACAGTAACCTCACTAACACTCTGATCGGTCAGGAAATGTTTGAGCATCCTTCAGGTCAGCTGTTCGTCAGCTGTTCGCGAGTTCAGGTTTAGATGGTAGAACTGATGTGAATCTGCAGATGCACTGCGTCACGTTTGTCATTGCTTATTTTTGACCTGCTTGGTGCTCTGTTGCTCAGTTGCCTGGTTGCGTTGCCTGTTACTGAACTAAACTGGCTGTGTCTTTGTGTAAATTTGGTGCACTGCTGGTGGATCACCTGCCGAATGCACCTGATTAGTAAATCTGGCCTCAGAGTTGCTCGTGATGTTTGAAATTCTGGATTTTTAGCCTTGCTGGGATAAGATGATGTTTTTTTTTGCCATGAGCAGCTTGAAGCAAGCCTCACACAGAAAGGCTTCAGTGATGACGTTGATGATGATCTGTGTAAACCGACAGGATTTGGTTGGGCCTTAAACGCACCTGTCAGACTTCCCGGTACATCCACAGAGGATTGGAGTGTTTCATTAACATGCCTCTATTTTTAAAGCTGCAGCTTCTTGTTTGGACTGTCTGAATGTCTTTGAGGTGAATGTTAATCGGGACACAGTTAATGACTGATGAAGGCTTTTACCCCTCATGTTAGACTATTCCTGGATGGGGCTTTTTTTGCACAGCGTCACCTCTAATCCCCGTGAAAGTCATCATTTAACAGGAAAAGCAAGATGAAGCTGTGAGGAGACTCCCTGGGCCCCACTGACCTCCTCTAGCAGGAGAAATGAACACCTGTGCAGGGATGAGCCTACTGCCCCTGGGCTTTCCTGTGTCTTTTTCTTTGTGGTGATTTGATCACATTTGTTGCACATAAACACAAATACATGACTGCATCACTGCCATGATTAAGAAAAAACAAAGACTAAAGTTTGGTTTCAGCAGAAAATGAGACAAAATGGGCTGCAGGAAAACTACTCCACACTTTTATTACTTCCAGGCTGGACGACTGTAATTCATGATTATCAGGATGTCCTAAAAACTCCCTGAAAAGCCTTCAGTTAATCCAAAATGCTGCAGCAAGAGTCCTGACAGGGACTAGAAAGAGAGAGCAGATTTCTCCTGTTTTGGCTTCCTGTTAAATCCAGAATTCAAAATCCTGCTCCTCACATACAAGGTCTTAAATAATCAGGCCCCATCTTATCTTAATGACCTTGTAGTACCATATCACCCTATTAGAGCACTTCGCTCTCGCTCTGCAGGCCTACTTGTTGTTCCTAGAGTATTTAAAAGTAGAATGGGAGGCAGAGCCTTCAGTTTTCAGGCCCCTCTTCTGTGGAACCACCTTCCAGTTTGGATTCAGGAGACAGACACTATCTCTACTTTTAAGATTAGGCTTCAAACTTTCCTTTTTGCTAAAGCATATAGTTAGGGCTGGACCAGGTGACCCTGGATCCTCCCTTAGTTATGCTGCTGATGGTTTGTGATGCTCTCACCGTGTCTTTATGCTGCTGCATTAGCTCTGTCACAAACTTTATTCTGTCTCAGCAGATTCCCTCTCCGATCCTCATTCTGTTGGAAGTTTCTTCCTGTTAAAAGGGAGTTCTTCTTCCCCAGACTCATTGAGTCCTGCTTGTATAGTAGGGCCTTTCCTTACCATCTAAATCAGCCTGAGATAAACGTTGTGACGTGGTGTTACATGAACAAAAAGCAGCCCTGCTCAGACTGAAGTTGTCTAAAGCTCCGAGCGACAGCGGCAGAGGACGTTGTCATGGGAATGATTGCATCTCCAAACTGAGTCTGAATGTTTTTGTCTCTGACAAGCTGCAGCCTTGTTCTCCACCTTCATCCTGTCCTCGGTCTCCTCCACCATCCCCTGATACCATCTTTCACACAGTTTGATTTCAGCTTTTACTGCACAGCAGCACCGTGTCATCACGTTCCTGCACAACATTTACGTAATCTGCTCCAGCCGCCGTGACCACTTGCTCTGTAAACATTACATTTAGTCAAAGAGAGCAGAAACTTCCACTGACAGCGGTCACAGACTGTGTCGCTCGTTCTCTGTTTCACACGTCTGTGTCTCGTCCTCCTCCACGTTGCCTCATTTCATTCTGCAGCCCCGCTCGCATTCGCCCTGCAGCTGTCGCTCAGACCTGCAAATTCTAATTACGTGATTATCTTTTCTGTTCAGACAAACGGTGCTCGCTCGGAGCTTTTTAGCTGAGACTCGCTCTTTCCTCCCAAAAAACACACGCGTGTGCGCCAGCGTGCAGCTGCCAGACGATCAGAATCAGCAGTTCTCAGCTTCAGTCACCGTGAAAGTGATGGAGGTATTTGGAGAGGCTTTGTCATAAATCAGTAAAGGAGTGCATGTTTTACTTGAAATCTTTAAATAATCAAAGCGTTCACATTTTGCTGCTTTAGCCTTTGCGGAGGCTGGGACGTCTGAAAAGTCGTGCCTGTTTCATCGATCCAAGGTCTCGTCACACAAAGTACAATCAGCGGGACTCCTTTCAGAGTCGCCTCCTTGTGCACCTCTGGACCACTTCCTGTTTCGATCATCACTGTACGTCTGGTCACTTTGCCTCTGAGCTGCACGCCGCATTCTTTCCACTGACTCAAACTCTTTGTGTGAGAGACGAGGAGGTGGCGTGCGGTGAACGATGGCTGTGCTGATGTTCTTCCATCAGACGCTCTACTGCAGAGGCGCTGACCCTCACGGGGCTGTTAGAAAGAATTTTTAAGGTTAAGTATATCCCAGCAGCATGTAGAGACCTACAAGCTCATAAATGACCTCTGCACAGTCTCACTTCACCCTCGTGCTCAGCCTGTGGACTCTTCGCTGTAGAACCGGACATCCTGGGAAAGGTCCAGAGGTGCACACAGAGCTGAGCTTGAAGGAGAGACTGGCTGAATTTAAATAATTGCACCTTCTTTGCTCACTTTGTTTCTAACCCAGCTTCAAATCATGCAAAAGATCTGGGACACATCCCACCCACTTTTCACACCGGAGCAATATATAAACGTGGAGGGGTGGGCCGTGTGCGCTGCTGTAATCCTGGCCCTGTGATTCTATAAAAACGATGAGAAAACGGTTGCAGATCCAGTTTCCCCTGCAGCTCCACAGTCGGGCTTCAGGCAGCTTCTTGGTGATTTGCCGGCAGCTCCAGCTGAGCGGTTCTTTTGAAGCCGACTCTTTCTTCTTGCAGCGATGTGACGGGGCATGGTGAAACTATCTGTGTAGTGACCCGCTCTGCATGTTTGTCCTGACCCTGTGTTCAGGCCGAAGACCGAGGCTGTTTATGTGACACTGTTCATTGATTAATTATTTTTATTTCTGTATTAAGCTATTGGCTCTTTGAAGTGTTTCAGCTGAAAACCTGCATCTCACTGGAACATTTTCTAACCTGCTGCTTCACAGTCTGATCGACGAACAAAAGCTCAATAACCGAACGGACGAGTCAGACGAACTTTATCGACCTTTGAATTTCTGTTGCATCAAACTGTGGCAAAACATCTAGTTTCACTGTGATGGATAAAAACCACATCCTCTGCTGACTTTTGTAAAATCAGGCCTGCGTGTAATACTTTGCTGTTCATATCGACGCTGCTCACTGGTAAAGCTTAGCGATTAAGACCTGAGACGGATTCTTAGCTGGAAAATGATTTATGTGAAATCTTTTCGTGTGCCATATTCCCAAGCCTTGTTGAAGCGCATTATTGTACAATAAAGACTAAAGTTGATGGTGGCTGTGACTCTGGCCTGGTTATTTGCAGAAGCAGTAGGTCAGAGATCGGACTGCGTGACAACACCGAAGGAAACGTGAACATTTTAGTGAAGTTTCACAGTTAGGAAGGGCTCATTTAGCTACTATGAAATGACAGATTTATGGCCATGAGCCCAATGTGTGTCCACCTCCTCGAGCAGATGAAATCTTCCTTTACATGATGCTGTCTCAGACCATCAGGACTGAACACAATTCAAAAATAGAACCTTTTCAAATCGTTAGGT